CCACCCTGGGCTGCATTAGGAAAAGTATAGCCAGCAGGTCGAGGGAGGTGACCCCCATCTCTCTGTTCAGCACTGGTGAAACCACACACAAAATCTGTGTTTAGTTCTGGGCAAGAACATACAGACATACTGGAGCAAGCTGATCAAAGGGCCATAAAAAATAAGGGACTGGAGCATCTCTCCTACAAGGAAAAGCTGAGATAGCTGGGATTGTTCTGCATGGGAAAGAGAAGGCTCAAAACTTTTCCTGAGAGAGTGATCAAACACTGGAACAGGTTGCCTAGGGACGCTGTGGAGGCCCCACTTTAGGAAATATTCAGAATCTTACTGGACATCATCCTGTGCAAACTGCTTCAACTGACCCTGCTTTGAGTAGCAGGGTTGGACCAGCTGATCTCAAGAAGCTCCATCCAACCTCCACAATTCTGTGATTCTGTCCATTTGGGTTCTGGAGATCACAAGGTAAATGAAGATAGTTCACAGGCAGCGATAATAAACTAGATGACAGTAAAGAATACAGGCTCTTACAAGAAAAAGCAACAGGAACACAAGTGTCATGAAAACTTTAAATTCTGTTCAATGTTGACTACTGTACTGCTTCAGAGTTCCGTATGCCATTCCAAAACTGACTCACCAAGTACCAAAGATTAGCTCCTCCTACTTGGAACAAGGGAACACAGCTATGAAAATAAAGCAGCACACTCTGGAAAAAAGCTAGTAGATCTTACCTCTGTACTATAAAGAGTACAAACAACAGCCTGTGTCATTCTCTACTATACTATACCAGGAGAACAGAAAGTAGATTCTTGTTTTCCTTAGCCAGAAAAGTCTCAAGTAATTTGTTACAACATACTTAAAGTGAAAGCAGTACTATTTTCCTGAAAGGAAGGCCAAGAAAAGCCAGAAATCCACACAGGCTATTTACTGTTAAAGCCACCATGGATGCTGGAAGGGTGGCAGAGAGGAAGACAACCATAAGAATATGCACAAACTTACCTTTAAGTGTGTAGCCAAACAGGGGGGTTTAAACTGGGTTCTTATTTTAATATTTGCAAAGATACATCTCAACCACATTTATAAAATATCTGCATTTTATCAATATGCCATTTTGGACGGATTTCTTGGTTATAATGTTCAGACTTGAAACGGATGAAGCAAAGAAGATATTAAGCCAATTCTCTTTTATTTAAGAATAAAATTTGCAGAATTATAAAACCTGGAATTTACAAAACAGAGCTTGTTAGTTACAAGGTCACCTGTGGCCAAATAAGAATACCCAAGGCTAACAGAAGAGCTGACAGGCTTTTAAAAGAATATTTAAACTTGTCTGGATTACAAGTACACCTAAAAGCATTAGAAAAGTACTTTGTCTTTTTTTTACCCCTAATTGTAATTATGGTCCATCTATATAAAACAGTCAAGCTCACCAGCCACCAAGACTCCTGATAACTTTCGAAACATGGAAAAGGCTTTTGGCTGGACAGCAATACATAAAATTACTTTTGAACCTTTAATAGTCCACAGGATCATAATCTTTTGAAAACTGAACTACTGGCAACAAGCTCTTTTCCTTCACTAACTTTTGCAGACACTGAGGAAATATCCTGTAGTTGCCGAGTTCCCAAACTGAAAACCACTAACCAATGCATGTCCAGTCACCAAAGAAGCGTACAACTTACATGAGGGACTGCTGTGACTGACACCGAGGTTTGTAGTCTCTATAGATTCAGTCAAGATTTTTGTCCCTTGAAAATGATGGGTTTTTATGTATGACAGCTGCAAGTCAGAAGCTGAATCACATTTGGAAGGCAGCATGTGGGAAACTTTAACTGTTCCTGTATACCGTATTAGTGTGCAAAAAAGTGAAGTTCATCAGTCTACACGATTCTAAAATATCGTCAGAACCAAATTTCCTTCTCGATATTTTAAACTTTACAATGACTTAGAACTACTTTTATCTGAATGATTCTACTGTATTCAACATTATTAATTTCATATAAAGTCTCGAAATGGACTTTCCCAAATGAAGAGAGAAGGTATTGCACTTACCAAAACTATGAAATAGCACTATCTACCCCACATTTTTTAAAGCATTAAGACAGTTATATCATGTGTTATCAATGTTGTAGCCGGTTTTGGTTTAAAGTATAAATTTTATTAAACTGAGTAAGCGATAGCAGATAAAACAGCGCTGGGTGCGCCGGGGAGTCCTCTGCTCCGCCCAAGACGCGCACACGCGGTCCCTGGGAGGCGGTCCTTTATCTTCTCCGGTTCAAGGCCCTAGCCAATCCTGTCGCCCCTCCTTACTCGGATGTTGACATGGCTCTTCCCCATTGGTTCCCTTTGTTGCAGGGGTCTCATTACCGAGAAGTTTCGGGAAGTTTCGAGAAGCTCCCAGAGGCTTCGAGAAGCGTCCACTGCCAGCCTCCTTACCCTCGCAGCCCCCTCCCCTCAAGCGTTGCAACAAGACACCACTTCGAGCCACCCAGACCCCTTTTCTCTCTCACAATCCCGCGCAACAATACAACTGACCTCCCCCCCATTACCTACAGAGTACAACAGTTACAGAGTCAAAAAGGAGTATTGTTTCACATAAGGACAGCCACAGAGAGCCTCCCTCCCCCCAGACTTCTTGATGAACAAACCCCACACATTACATCATGTCTCCCTGAAAGTCAATCAAACTTTAAAATCAACTTGCAATTTCAGTTGCAGCCACCTCAAACAGGAGACAGGTTAACACAATGGCACAGTTTCAAGGGACAGTCTGTTTCAGAGATGGCTGACCTACAGCCAAGACCTCAGCCGTTTCCCCACAATCAAGTATCCCACAGCACATTTACAAAACTATACACATTTAGTGTTGACTTCGTCACGTCATCTTTGTCTATTAGAAGTAAAATACTTTTAGTATCTTTGTCGTGGTTTAAAACCAGTCAGGCAGCTCATTCACTCATACCCTCCCCTTCTTTTCCATATTAAGATAGTATGTATTTTACATATTGCTCAATAGTAAAGGTATTGCAGCTCAGGTGGCATTTTTAGACTTTACAGGTAGTATCTTCATTGCTATGAACAGTCAGTTATTATGCATCACATTTCCTTTATCTGCACAAACCACTGTTTGTACAACTCATAATTATTTTGCCAAGCAAGAGCTTCAATGACTGAATTAATGAGTTATGGATAATTTTACTATTCTCAGAAAAAGAATACCCTTCTTAAGAATACAATTTTTGTCTTTCTTCAACTTACAATAGTGCTGTTGAACATTCTAAGTTCAGAGTCAGACCCCTAAAAATAGGAGGCCTTAAGAAACTATTTAAAAACTTTGTACCTTTATTTAGGTGCATGCTTTCTAATTTTCTTTCTTTAACCACAGAGACCAAGAAACTTAAGGAAATGATTGTTTAAATGGGAGTGAGAGGGAAGCACTACCACATGGAACTGCCATTGGTGTTAAGATCTTTCTGTGAGGCAACCATAAAAGCATGCAAAACAAGCTTCTTAGCATAAAGAAATTGTAATAGTACAATTGTTACAAGTAAAGCAGCATCATTTCCTGTAACTTCAACTTAAACCTCTAATAGCTGTGCAAGGAAATTTATGTGCATCTGGTCTTCAGTTTTTCAACAGGTGTTTCCAGAATAGTATACAAACCTCAGCCTTTAAAGTCTGCATAGTCATCTTCTAATGTTTCACAGCATATTTGGTGGAGCAAAGCAATTACAGGACCCCTTCTAACTCTATTGCCCCTTTTCACTCTCAATTACCAACTGTATGCCATAAGTAAATAGTTTCTTTTCTACACTGTGCTCATTGTAAGTGAACTACTTGAAGTTTGGTTTTCACTCTTTACTTGCTTCTCCTTTCCCTATCCAAACACCAGAGGTACAAAAGGTATTTTTTCTGTATTTTTACAATCATACTGTCAAAATTTTCACTGCCTGCCTATATCCTCACATTTCACTTCAAATAATTTCGGGTTTGAGCTATTTCAGTGCTACAGGCATAATCTCCAAAACACCTTCCCCAAAGCTTACAGTTGCTTTCCCTGCTACATCAGCCAAGTTCCTTTCCCTTTTTTCTCTCTCCTTTTCTCCCAACAGCACACAGAGTACGTCGCTACGTACCCCAAGACCTTCACGAGGAACAAGAGCAGAACAGCAGTGCAAAAACGCATCACAGCAACACCAGAAACAGGCAGATTGGACAGAAACCCACAACGGCAGTTCAGTCTCCACGTAACCACGCAACACACGAAACCGAACGGTTTGGAGCCAAACACCTAAACCCAGCGGGCCTGACACCGCTGCTGCCCGCCGGACGCGGGTGTTGTCAAGGCAACAACCCCCCCTCCCCCAGCCGAGCAACCCGACGCTACCCCACGCGCAGCAGTCAGCAGCGGCGGTGGCAGAACACAGGCCCCGCTGCGGCCGCTCAGCTCGGCACGGGGCGCTTCTCCTGACGCGATGCGAGACAGAGCTGCGCGCAGAGCCGGGCAGCCCCGGCCCTTTTGCTCCCGGAGACACGGCCACCCTGAAACCCTGCCCGTCAGTCGGAAGATGCAATCGGACGGCCCTCACTGAGCTGCGGTGCCGGGCCGCATATAGCTCCGCTGGGCCCCACTCGCACTGCCCTTCTCACCTGTCGCTGGAGCTGCCACGTCGGCCCCTCGCACTCTCCATCCCGAGCCCCACCGTTACTTATGAGGCCCCTGCCACCGCGCCCAACCCCGGCCTCACCGCTACCCTTGGCGACGGAACTCGGTACTGAAGCGCGGCGCCATTGGCCGGAGGCGCAGCACGCGACCTCCCCATTGGCCACGGTGCCCCTCAGCGGGCAGGGACGAGCCCCGCCCCTTCTGTGGTGGTTGGGGCGGGCCCTACCGTGCCCTGCCTACCTGCGGGGCTGGAGTTAACAGCTGCGGCAAGCGGCCACGTACAGCCAAAAACTCTTAAGAGATACCCAGTTCCCTGAGGAAGCACAGCCCAACATACCCCCATCGCGAAGAAGACACCCCCCGCGCTTTTGTGGCATTTCTCAGGAGGATGAGCCAGCCGTAGCACACGGCTTGGCTTAAATCAGCTCCCCTCTCCATCCTTGAAATTAACAGTCTATTCTGACATGGTTTTGCACAGGTTTACTGCTCCTGCCAAGTCAGACGTTGGTCTGTCTCCTTGAGAGCTCGAGGTTCGTCTTCACCAGTACGTCAGCAGCGCTCAGCTTCCCGCTGTCCTGCAGATACTTCATTATAAGAGGCCGCTGCCTCCATGTAACCTTTACTCCATACTCATGCTCAGGAGTATCTGTAACCAGTACTGCTGCTGACTCCAACTCACCCCCCTCACAGGAGTCAATACCAAATGCCAGCTCTTTTTCTGGTTGCCAGGCATGGCTACTACTTTGTGGCAGAGTGCTGCTGCATCTCCAGTTACTTATGGAAGGCACCTGTGCAGTCTCTACATCTGGTGAACTACAGACTTCTGGCTCCACAGGGTGGGGAGCAGGTAACAAGGGTATTTCTCTACAGTTCACCAGACTGTTCACCTGGATGTTGGCTTTTGCTGCTGTCCCTTCTTTGGGCTGCCTGTGCAAGTGTTGTGTGTGCTTCCTCAAGTGATTTGGATGATCTGAGGGGTGGGCTGCACCTTCTTCTGTCCTCTCAAAAGTTAAAGGAGGAAATTTGCAGGCTGTAGCTCTTCGACAAGCTCCTCCTATATGAAGTGAACTGTAGTTGGCATCGTAATTCTGGGGTTTGTGAGGACCACGATGCTTCTTCTGGCATGCTTTCAATGCCACTGATGTAGTTGTTCCAAATTGTGGACACACCTGAAGGGAAAGACATAATAAGAAAAAAAAAAAATCACAGCAGTTTTCTCCATACAAACGAATACCAACCTGATTCTACTCCCCCACTTACCCATCTTTTTTCAGTGTGTTCATTAAGTGAGCAAAGCAAACCAGTTTCTTAACCAAGCTACTAAGCAGGAGATACTGCTGAACTTCAACATCACGTTTGCCAGTCTTCTCTAAAAAGTGTTTGGGATGCAAGTGAGCTATTCTCTGGCAACTTAAGAATTAAAGATTTGGTTTTTTTTTTAAAAAAAACACATTCTAACTGGTGTCTACTCCTGTAACCCCTGCAAGTTGCAAATATAGTTCAGAGCTGGATCCTGTTTCTTTCTGCGTTTCAGCATAACTCTGAATAATCCAGTAAACTACATGCTCAGTCTCCCTGGACAGGTAGAGGTTGAACTGAAATCAATACAAAACAATTTAAAGGATGCCCACTTAGCTCCATCACCTTAGTTATGTTACTGTGACTTTCACAATATTCCCCCAAACATGTTTACTTCAACAGTTAATCTCTGTATCATCCAAAAGCCACTTCTAAAATCGGTTTTCTATAGACAAAGTTTTGTACAAAGTTCAAAATCTATATATTTTTTGAAAGATTCTAGACTCTTACATAAAACCTGAAAATCCCTCTGTTATAGTAATCTTTATTTTACTTGGTATCAACAAAAGAGTCAGCTTCTCTTTCTTGCAATTTGCTTTTTCCTAGAGCATACCAAACTGAGATCTAGTTACAATAATTATACATCCTTTCCAGCATTCCTAAGTTACTGCGTAGTCCCTAAAAACAAAACAAAGCTCGAGGGGAAGGATAATGGATACCAACCCAGGCAGCAGAGGTGTTCTGGTCTACAGGTTTTGTAGGAACACGTCTTGGATTCTCAGCCGAATGTATCGGAGCTTCATAGCAATGGACGGGTCCCTCTCGCGGCCTCTCAAGGAATACCAGCTCTGCTTTTCTGGCCTTGGTACATTTCTTCTTCGGAGGCATCAAAAGATATGGTAAAACCACTTCGAAACCTCATGGTGCTTGCTAATGCAAATTGGAGAAAGAGAAAAGCACACAAGGAGATGCTAAAGTGTTCTCAAATCTGGCAAATAAATGGATTTGAAGAGAAACTTGTTTGATCTAGCTTTTAACAAAAGTAAAATATACATGCAACAGTATGCCATACACATCTCTATGCAGACTTTTTCCGATCAGTACTTTTTGAACCTTCTATTGGATTTCAGATAGATTTAGAAACGCACAGAATAGATAGATGCTCCAGAGCTTCATGAGGCCAAATACTTTGGGGGAGAAACAGATGTGAATGAAACAAGTGTCCCAGCTGCAAAAGGAATTCTGAACTGGCCTTTGGGCCAGACTCAACATTACTGGAAAAGTTAGTTCCTTACAAAAATACATATTTTAACTACCCAAGACAGGCAAACTCACGTAGTCATTTTTCTTCATGAAAATATTTTAGAAGTAATTTGAAAAACATACATCTATGGTAAGGCCTGTCTAAAATACTGAAATAGAGAACCAGCTGTATTTAGAATAGGCTTGGTCACTGAAATTTCAAAGTCACTGAAACCAATGGGAAAGAAGCAAAAGAAAGGAATGAGAGTGTTTGACCTACTGAACCTTCTTTGTCAAGTCAGCTATCAAGAAAATTAAGACAATCTATTCACATTAGCTCAACATCTAGTTTAGTCACAGACAAAAAACAGCTTAGGAGCTGAAAGTCAATGAAACTTCTCCCCCTTTTCCCAATTTATTCCATCAAACTGGTTTGTAATGCCAAGATATTCTGTAGGGGCAAGACAACTAGAAGTCTTTCAGTTTCTAGCGGCTACCTACCTATGCCTATGCATTTGATGTTTCTCTCCTGTGTTACTGTATCTTGTGTTATGTTTAACCTGGTGAATAAGTCTGAACTGCAACTTTAATTTCCCATTCAAAAACAGATTAGCAAATACAAGGAATTCTAATGAGAACATGTTCTGATAAATGCATTCTCTTACCAAATACACAAGGCTGCAGCAGCCTGACTGCTTACCAGACGCACAGCCTCCTCGGGGAGTCCTGCGAGCCGCCCTAGCCAGACACGGCCGTAACACCCGTTAAACGGTGAAACTCCGTGCCCCTTCAGAAGGCCCGCGACCAGCGCCACGGCTAGCTGCCCGCTGGCTTGCCCAGGGGCTGGTGCCAGGCACTCAGCAGCCAGGGCTCCCGGGCCGAGGACAGCGCGGCTTCCAGGCCCGCCCTTGCTGGGCGGCTCTGCCGGCACAGAGCCCGCAGCACCGGCTGAGCGGACCCCTTAAGCAAGAGCGAAGGGGCCTCCCAGCGCACCCGTATCCCCCGCCGCCGCCGCCGATTGGCCCGATCCGCCCCGCCCCTGCCACGTCTCATTGGTCCACGCCGGCACGTGATGCCAACGGGTTGCTGGGCGCCAAATTCAAACCGATGTGTGCTGTGCGAGTGCCAGAGCCCGGAAGCGCCGCTGCCTGGCCGGGGAGGTGGTGAGTCGCGACTTGTGCTGAGCACCTCCTGCCGCCTCCTTCCCTTCCTTTTCCTCTGCCTCTCCGCGGGGGCTGGGCGCAGGGCCGGCAACCCCACGAGAGCCGCACTAACAGAGCAGGGCAGCTGGGAGGTGGTAAGGCCTAGGCCGGGCCCGGGCCCGGGGCGAAGGGGCCCTTGTGTGTGGCAGACGGACTTACCGGTGAGGGCGGCAGGGGGATACGGGTGCGCTGGGAGGCCCCTTCCCCCTTGCTTAAGGGGGATGAAGGAGAAGCTGGGCGGCCTTTAGCACTCCCCTCCCTTATCTACGTTCGGGGCCGTATGTACAGGGGGTTGCTCCCGGGCCTATACCGGTGGTAGCAGCTCGAGGCCTTATTGAGAAATGTCTCGCTCCCGTAGAGAATGCAACCTAAAGGTTATTCTTTTGTCGTTGTCTTACGGAGACCTCTCTTTTGACGGAATTAAGCAGACCGCAAAGGGCCATGTACGTGCCTAAGCGTGTCTCTATTTGGGGACTCTGGCTGCTGGGCAGACCCTGATTACAGGCTTGCCTGCTCCCTGCACAGAGGGCATCAACAGCTCAGCGTTCATCTGTCGAACTTTTTCGTTTGTGTGTATGTAGGTTATCTATACTAAGAATTTTCGTGTTTGTTCGCTGGCACGGTCAAATCTACTAATACAAAAGATCTTTTTTGTTTCTATTCTGCCTGCCAGATATAAATATTGTTTGTATAGTCTTGTTCTGGTATATTTTGCTGCAGGAGTCAGCCTCTTTATTTCTTGAATTGCATGATATTTGTAAGTGGTGTTCTCAGAAGGGACATGCTGCATCTTACCCTGAATGCAGTATCTCTAAATTTTATCTTCCAGGTTTATAATCTGAACCATCTGCTGTCCAAAAGTTTGACATTTAAATTGTATGATGCCCAGTGAAAAAATTATGTGGTTCTTGACAAATCTACAGAAAGAATAATTAAGGCATTTACTTTACATTTATTTTAAAGCACCTAACTTCTGCCGCATTTATTGTGCGCTTTTGTAGTATCTGGGACAGTCTTTGTTTCCCAGGTCTTAAATAATCTGTTAAATTCCCTTTTCATTAAGGTCATGTAATCTGGTTACAGCAATGAAATATAAGAAATGGGATTACTATTTCTATGTTACATCTTCCTAAGTCTTAGTCTCCCTTTCTGTAAAGCACGTATGTGTATTTCCCTCATTAGACATATTCTGTGGCTTCCAACTTTTGATGCAAATTATCTACTCTGCAAATATGTCTCCTGAGATCACTACAAGATGTGGACAAAGGAGGTACAGTCCTGTTTTCCAGGAGCCTTTTCAGTCTTATTAAATGCTCTTTTTTATTATTATTGTTATTATTTTCCTCCCTTGTTGCTAGCTTTGTAGCAATTGCTGAAAACATGCTCTGTGCGAGGTGCTCTGCGTGATTTGCTGCACCTCTCCTAACTGTTGCTGCCCCCTGCACTCATACGTGGTATCTTTTGTTTTGCAGGATTTGTTCTCATCCCTTTCAATGGAGAGTGACTGCAGAAGTCAATGATGAGGACCAGCCCTCGCAGGCCCTTAATTCTCAAAAGACGGAAACTGACCCTTCCGCAGAATGATGTGCCCAGTACCTCAGCAAGAGATGAGAACAGTGGCCAGGATGAAAACACTCCTAAGCAGGAGGTCAGCCAGCAGGACCAGCACAACAGCCAACCCAGAGACAAAATGGACTATGGCCTGCAGAAATTCCCAACAGGAATAAAGATAATTGACCATCCTACCATGCCCAACACACAAGTGGTGGCCATCCCTACAGATGCGGATATCCAGAGCATCATAGAGGCACTGACGGCAAAAGGAAAAGAATGTGGCAACAACGGGCCCAACAAATTCATTCTCATTAGCAGTGGGGGCACATCCCGTTCAGCAGGTCCAACACCAGCACAACATCTCTCATCAGAGAAGAAACCCAGTACAGTACCTAAAGCGGCAGATGGTCAAGAAAGAGAGAGGAATGTTACACAGACACCTGGTCTTGCAGGAGGGACAACGCTCTGGCATTCAAGAATTGATTCTGTGGCTGGACAGGAACAGGAGAGCAACAGTATGTGATCTTAACCCTTTTTTTGGTCCTGTCAGATAGATGAAGAGATGTGAAGTGGGCCAATTAGTGTAGTGCTTGGATCTCAGTATGCAATAACATGAACTCTTTTGCTAATTACCAAATAGCACGGACTTGATTTTAATAATCTACATAGCTATGCATATGCGGTGAAATCTGAAGTATCCTAGTGGATATGTTTTTGATGGAAGAGATAGTAAATAAAAGTGTATAGCAAAGCAAAATTTTAGTGTTGGCAGAAAAAAACTGGCTTGAGGAAGTCAAGCCTAGAAAAAAAGTTTCTTCTAGCAAAAGGGTTATGGCTGTATTCAAGACTAACATAGGGCACCCTAGTCAGTGACAAAACATACGGGCCTAGAGCTGTGAAAAAGAGATGATTCCCATCCTTTAATAATTAAGGCTCTTTCCCCCTGGGCTGTCTCATGAACCTGCTGAGTAAATGTTAGAAGTGGGTTGGATTTTACTTTGAAACACTGATCAGATCAAATTTGGATTTGCAACTTAAAATAGCTATGTAGCTTTTGGGCTGTAGTAAACCTTATCCCACAGTATAGTAACTGTCTGATAGAAACCCAGAGACGGCTGCAGTAGCTGTGCTGCTACAACCAACCTCACCAGAAATGACAAAACTGCTAGTTTTCACTGATGCATTTCCAAAACCTGGAGACATCAAAAGTTCTGGTTTGGGTCTTGTGAGCTAGGGCTTTCAGTTGGAGTTTGTCACTACTTACCTTGGCCTCTGCTCACTATATTCATCCATTAACTAAACATTTGAATTCTTGATGTACTGCATCAATATTGTCCTGGTTTTGTTGAGAGCAATAGACTGATTTGAATGTTTGTTTTTAAGGCTGCAGAAATTGTGCAGGTCATAGAATCATAGAATAGCTAGGGTTGGAAAGGACCTTAAGGTCACCTAGTGCCAAATCCCCTGCCGTGGGCAGGGACACCTCACACTAGACCATATGGCCCAAGGCTCCGTCCAGCCTGGCCTTGAACACTGCCAGGGATGGAGCATGTACTACTATATCATAGAATCATAGAATAGTTTGAATTGGAAGGGACCTTAAAGCTCACCCAGTTCCAACCCCCTGCCACGGTAGGGACACCTTCCACTAGACCAGGTTGCTCCAAGCCCCATCCAACCTGGCCTTGAACACTGCTAGGGATGGGGCAGCCACAGCTTCTCTGGGCAAGACAGAAACGAAATGGTGGTTGAATTCCTTCCACAAGAAACATTAGAATTGCAATACCATCTTGTCACTGTCTTGAGATGCACATACATCTTCTAGAAGTGTGACTACTTCCTTTCTTTTGGCACTTGAGATGAAGGGGAAAGAGGGTTACTTTGAGTAAGCAGAGCTATGGGCTTGTTACCCCCACAGGCAAGACAACGGGCTCTGTGTTGGACAATAGTCTCACTAACATCCAGTGGCTGGGGAAGATGAGATCTGATGGGCTAAGTCCCTGTTCTGTGAAGCAAGACACGGGGAAAGAGAACCAGATGCCTCTGCAGGAAACAATCAAGGTAAGTAGGCAAAGACAACAGAGCATGTACTAAGACTTTTGATAGGGAAGTAATCCATGTGCATCAGAAGACTTGCAAAAACTAGGTGTCACCATCTCTAAGTAACCTGAATTTGTCATTTTCTGATTTGAATAAAAGAACCTGTAAGATCCAGGGCCCTTCTTTGTCAACTTTCTGAGCAGTAATGTATCATTCCTTTCATCTCTCAGACTGAAGAAGATTCTGCTGCTGCTGATATTCCTACTGCCGCTGCTGCTGCCTCATGGCAGGATTCGGTATCGGAACGACCTCCTTACTCCTACATGGCCATGATCCAGTTTGCCATCAACAGCACTGAGAAGAAGCGTATGACTCTAAAGGACATCTATACCTGGATTGAGGATCATTTCCCATATTTTAAACATGTGGCTAAGCCAGGTTGGAAGGTAATAAGCAGGCTTTCAAGTTGCTGAGGGCCACAGGGTGGTATTCTATAGGCTTTCTGAGTGAAAATGAAGTTAGCCAGCCTGCAGAGCAAAGTGGATGTTAAACAGCCCACCCCATGTACCCTCTCATTCCAGATGTTCTCTATTCCACTTTTGTATCCCTTTTTTCATTCCACTTAGGCAAGATGATGGGATGTTTGATCACTGGAGAAAGAATAGGGATGTCAAGTGTAAGTAGAATAAGAGATTGATGACAGGGTTGGCTTGGGTATGCAGTAAATATGAATGTACCTGTTGCCTGCACTTTGGAATCTAATCCCTCTGCCAGGGCTGAGGTAGGCCTTGCTGTGCTGATAATGGAACTACCACTTTTCAACCTCCCCCATGCTTCTTTCCCCCCCAGAATTCCATTCGGCACAACCTGTCCCTTCATGATATGTTTGTCCGTGAAACATCTGCTAATGGTAAAATTTCATTCTGGACTATTCATCCTGATGCAAACCGTTGCCTAACACTGGACCAGGTATTTAAGGTGAGTGCCTCATGCAAAGGAAATG